TCTCTGCTGTTCTGTGCAACAATCTTTTTTAAAATAGCTATTGCAACAGGAAGCTCACAAAGCTCACCTTGTAAGTCTTCAAACAGGAATGTGCTAGCACAAACATGGTAATAGCAATTGCCCAATTCCAGATGTGTACTCTGAGAATCATCTGCATGTCAGCTCTCTGTTAATCTAAAACTGACCCATGCAGATTCCATGGGTAAAAAGATTGTCGGTGTATTCCTATGCTAACTTGGTTCACACATGGGCATGAGACATAATTTTTAGCTCTCCAACAGCAATCACATTTGGATGCTAAAACCCAATTCTTTCAATGATCTTAGAGCCACCTCACCCAATGTAGTACCTACCACTTTGAATCCAGTATAGCCATAAGTTAGTAATAATAGGAATTGAAATCCTACACATTCAGAGAATATCTGGTTACATCAGGCTATTTTAGAAGTATGAAATTAAGTAGACCAACTTTATAAAAAGACCTTATATAGTGCTGGTGGAACATACTCTTAATTTACTGAACTTTATCCAAACTTCTTAGAATAATGTATTTTGACCCAACCTATATGCTAGGAGTATCCAAGATCACCCACCGCTTCGAGAATAATATAATAATTAGATAATCACATTTTACTTAAATATATGCCTTGGGTTGTGTCTATTTACTTGGTGATTGCTTTAATTTAATTCAATGAAATCTACTTTCGAGAAAATGTGTATCAGATTTGAATCCAACCAAATCACTACTTTTTAAGATTAGTTCTGCCATTACTATACAAAATGAGAAATACAGAGACCTTTAATTATAAGTGTAAGAGATTAAATGGGCTCTGTCTTTGAATAACAGTGCAATGATGCTATGTAATTGTCCCCCAAATTAGTTGTAAAATAAAATCTAAAATGAACCTGCATGGTATCTCTGTAGCAGAAACTAAATCTTAATTCTACACAATGTGGTGAATATACTATACATGGGAGGTAACCTGAAAATGTATTTATAAGGCTAACATGGTATAATATCAGGTTCCATCCAAGAATCCTACAGTTGAATACAGGCTCACATTTCTGTGCTATTTTGTTGCTACAGTGACACCTACTGGCAAGCAGTTTAAAATACACCTAAAGGAGGCCATGAATTCTTAAATTGATTTTTCACCTGCTTGAGGTTTCTCCAAATATATTGGACAGAATGGACAAAGTTGAACAGCTGAATTTATGTTGTTTATCCTGTCACCTAGTATCTGACACCATCAAGTCTTTCAAGGGGAAAGATAGCTTGATAGTATCAATTCCCCGCCTCAGGCGCTGCTTGGATTTTTCTCTAGCTTGATTGGATATTATGCACATGGTATGAAGAAAAAAAGATATGGAAGGTGGGAAGTGCACATTTTTAAAAAAAAATAAAAGCCTTTTGCATAGTTGAGAGATTGCAGGTTTTTTTTATTGCAGTACTCAAAACATGTAACCATTTGAGACAATCATGAAATTATTTTCGTTCTTTGTTATTTCAGATGTGTGAAAATTTATTTAATTTAACAAATTTTGACAACTGAATTTTTGTTTTTACAGTGGGAGTTGTACTGCAATTTATATGACACTAGACCACAACTTATGTTTTCTGCTGCTGAGCTTGTGGATGGTTCTTCCAATTGGTAAGAATTCTTGCCCTTCTGGTATCAGAGTGATCAATATTCTTATCTGTTTTCACCACCCAAACCAGAGTTTCAACATTTTGTTCTTGGGGCCTACAACAAATATGGGCAGTTCTCGACATACGACCACAATTGAGCCCCAAAGTGAAACATTTGTTAACTGAATTCTGTCCCATGTTCTGTCCCATGTTCTTGCTACAGTTGTTAAGTGAATCATGCCTCCCCATTGACTTTGTTTGTAAGAAGGTCGCAAAAGGTGATCATATGATCCTTGGTCATGGCAAACTGTCATAAATATGAGTCAGTTGCCGAGCCTTGGAATTTTGATCACATCACCATGGGGATGTTGCAATGGTTGCAAGTTTGAAAAACGGTCATCAGTCACTTTTTTCAGTACCATTGTAACTATGAATAATCACTAAGTGAACTATTATAAGTCGAGGTCTACCTGTGCTGGGCCTTTCTTTCCTTTAATCCAACAGTAAATGTTCTCTGCCATTTTTGAATTAGCAGATATTAGCGGATATACTATATTGTCATGACACCTGTTGCCTGTTGCCAATGTCTGCCCTGCCTCTATCTGCATCTGTTCTGATTCACTGCCGATTAGTGGGGTGCTGATTTTATGCATGCATGCAGCATACGATAAGCAAAATGCTTGGCTGAATCACCCAGTTGTCATCCCTTATTTTATGCATCTCACAAGCTGGCAGAAAAACACACTTGCAAAGCATGGGGGCTATAACAAGAATGGGATGTGTCTGGTTGTCATGTCTAGGGTGACTTCCAGTGCTCCTTTTCCTATACCTCGTGCTGTCATTTTAAAAAAATCGTTCCCTCTATTACTTCAAACTGAGTTATTTTTTCATAGGGTTCCTGCACCCCTTTTCTTTATGTAAATAACAAATGCTGACTTTTAGCTTTCTCTGCACTCTTTTCTGCAGGCAATGGAAGGTGAAAGTGGGGTTGACCCTATCATTCCATTGTTTCACTGTTGAACAGGTACGCTCTTCCTGTTCTGCTGACAAAGCAACCTTGTGTTACTGAACAATTTTGACAGATCACTACGACAGCACTGTATATTCAGCACCTTAGAGAAACCATAGTGAAATGGTGGCCAATGAGCCAGATCAAGGCCCAGTGAGGAGAGGAGTGTACCCAGATAAAGGGAAACTGGCCACATTTTGCTTCCACCTACTATCAGTCACCTGATTATATTTATAAATTAATGAGAATCTATAACAAGTTTAAAACACTGAGATGGTCAGTGGATGTTCTTTGGCTTAAGAGGAAAGTGACTGCTTTCACACCATGATAGGTTCCCCTGTAACGGGAACATGACCAAAAAAACCCAGATGAAAATGGGGAAGTCCACTTCTTCAGCCACTGCAGCACTATCCAGCCACGTTATAGCTATTCAAGAGAGGAAACGATGGCAAAATCACCGAGATGCTCTTCTTTCATCCTCACAATTTTCAAAAAGCTATTAGCAGCAGGAGGAATGCCAGCTTTGAAGTCAGACATTTCCCTCTTACAACCACCACTAGATTTCATTTGATTGTGTTTACAAAGAAGGAAACAAATGCATACCATATAAATTAAAACTACAGATGAGGCAGACCATTAGCAATTATCTTTTATCTCCCTTTTGTGTGAAGAGGTAGTGAGAGGATTATTACTTGTTACTTGAGGACTGGCAACAGCTTAGAAGATACTTAAGTGATGTCATTATTAGTCACCTAGAGGGAACCTGGTGGGCTCATAGCAAACCTTATATGTTCTTAAGTGGTAGGTAGTCAGCATGAACTACTCCACCAATCTTTTTGTTTTATAACTGTTGATACCATCCATGATGCCCCTTAGTAAACAGGCTCTTTGAACACTTAGAAGAGTGTTTCTCAACCTTGGCAACTTGAAGACGTCTGGACTTCAACTCCTGGAATTCCCCAACCAGCATGCTAGTTGGGGAATTCTGAGAGTTAAAATCCATACATCTTCAAAGGTGAGAAACTCTGCCTTAGAAGATATACTTAAATATGCATCAAAAGGTTAGGATTACAATTGAGCCTAGACAGTGATGATATAAAATACTTTAAATCAAAGATATGCTTCAGACATGATGTCCGTAGTCCATCAAAGATTTCAAAGTCAGAACAAACTCCACTTGTACTGACTATATTGTGAAGTTAGCAAAATAACATTTTAGCAATCTTTCAAGATAAAACTACAGATGTATACCATTTTTGGTACCCAGAAAATTTAAACTTCAGCTTTGTAAATCAATATACAGCATTTAAGAGGACCACTTACTTTTCTTTGTCCAGAGATCCATTTTCCTTGTTTTCCATGTCAATGGACAGCATGGAGATGTCAATGGGATCTTTTATGTCAGGAACTAAATCAATAAAGAAAAAAGGTGCATATATTTACTAGCATTAGTAAATGTTGTATGTTACTAGCATTAGTAAATGTTGTAGAATGTATTAAACCTTGCTTTTTCTGAACTGTTTTTAAACAGAGAGAAAGAACAGACACAATAGATTGTCACACTGTGGAACTTTAAAACCAACTTCAACAGTTTAAAGAAAAGGTCTTTTAATAATCAACAAAAAGTTTCCAACAGGTTGCATATTAATATATTTAGCAAGGATTTTCTTGGCCAGAAAGACAGTGGAGAGGTTTCTGCAAGTTATTATCTTTTATCCATTCTCCATTTAGGAAATGCAAGGTGAAGGCAACAGGCACTCTAGACATGTCAACACCTCCATTTCCACATAACGTATTGGTATTTTTCTTTAAAGTTCATCTTCTTTTTCAACATTTGGCCCTCTATTTAAATTAGTGCTCTGGGGAACTGGATGGACTCTCCCAGGCAACAGGTTTGACAACAATACTGAGGAGATGGATAAAATATGGGCATTAATAGTAGACTTTGAAGTCTACTATTAATGACTTCAAAGAATAAGAATCTCTGCCTTCTTATTCTTGTAAGAATAAGAAGGCAGAGAAAGCATGCAGGGCATGCCTTCTGGAATTCTTTCCAACTGCTTAATAGCAACATCATGGGTTATGTAACCAGAGGATTGGGGGTGGGCTGAAGAACAAGGCAATCAATACTGTCACAAGTTGCTGCCCCTCTGCCTCCCTTATAGGGAATATACTGAGTTGTTTTGTTGTTGTTTTTCTTTGCAGGTCCTGGTCAGATCGAGTCCATTTTCAAACTCTGTTTTGCTCTGACTAGCTTCTCTCCCACATCACATTTGGTCCAACTCTATTTTTGGAGAGCTATCCTGATGACACATAGACATATAGCTCTAATCCCCTGTATATAATTTCTTTCTAACCTAGACTTCTTCCAACAATGGCCTATTCCATTCCATCAACATTATATATACCGACAATCCCCTTTGGAGGATTGAAGATATAGTTATTTCAAGTTTACAGGTGAGATTAACCACAATATTGTACTGATATCAGTCTGAAATCACATATCTGAAAGATAACCTAATTGGAAAGATTGTTGTAAGCCTTCCTTATTTGCCTTAATAATTTTTGTTCTCTTTTTCAGTATCTTTTCTAGCTCTGTCTTATCCTTTCCTAGGTTTGGTGCCATCACTGATTGGGCCTGCCAAGGAAAAATAGATTGGGACTAAGGTCTTTTCTACAAGAACCTTTCCAGATCCCATACATAGCATGTGATAAATTAAAATTTTTATGACAATACTTGCTGTATATATATAACAATCTAATCCAATAATACAATATAATGTGAAATTAATTTTTGTTGGTTCCTCCAGGTTAAGAAGTGGAAAATAATGGGGAGAATTTAGAAAAAAGTAGTGCTGCATTTTTTAAATTCTTTCAAACCTTTCTTCCCCACCCACATGCAAAAAGATATGATGTGTTTCCTAGTTTTTCATTCAAAGCGCTGCATAAATTGTTTAAAATGTGAGAGGTTGTATACAAAAATATTGTGCAAATATAATTAAGAAAAAAACTAAAACTTTTATTGCAAGAACAAGTAACATGAGAAGCTTATTTGAATACAGAAAATACTTCAGTTGTCCTACACAGAACGCAGTTACAGGACCTATAACACACTGCCATCCAGATTTGCTACAATACCTCTTATTTAGGGGGAAAACCCCAAGATAAATATAAGGTATTAAAATATGCAAAGAAAATAAGAGGATTGGCCTTACCAGATACGAAACTATATTTTGCTGCCCACTGTTAGGTTTAGATGAAAGAGTGGGTAGTGTATTGCAAGAGATAGGCAGCAATTGGTGTGTAAAGTCACTATTTTGAGATTTAGGTGGCATGGTTATCTATGGTTTCATAAAATTAATATAAATGTAGACTTTAAAAATCACTATGTCAGGCAGGCTATTCTTAGAATATGGAACAAATTTAAACTTAGATTTTTCTGAAAACACCTTTGTGGCGTTCAACACAAGAAGCATTTTATAGACGAGAAATAATAAATAAAAGTAAGTAGTTAACACAGCATGATGTATTAGAATTTTCTCAGGGGGACTGCAAAATGAAATCAAGAGATTTGATAACAGAATACTCTTGTCAATGATTTTCTTATGTACAACCGACAAAAAGGTTTCAAGTGAATAAATATTTTATGGTTTGGAACAGAAGTAAGACCGAGTTTGAAACAGAATTATATAATAATGATAAATGTTATTGCTAAATTGTATAAACTGTTGTTGAAATATGAGACAGAAGAACAAGGGAAAAATGAACAATAAAATTGGCTAAAAATTTGGCTATTTGGCTAAATTTTTCATTGGAATGGACCAATGGAAAAACATGAGGTTGAAAGGCCTGAAACTTAACATCAGGTAGGTTTTAAGGTTTTAACCTTAAAGAGCATTTTAATAAAATAAATAGTATTTCTCACCAGAGAAATTGTTTAGCATGTATAAAGGCATTTTGAGTCTTTCCTAGAAATGTGAAAAGGACAATTTATCATGCTTGAGAGACATGTAAAAAAAAATGAACCCCCCCCCCAAAAAAAAGATACAGATATATTAATTCAGAATATCTTGAAATCAGAGACTTTTCTGTCTAATCATACCTGTATTCGATGCAAAGGAAATTAGAAACTTCTATTTTTTTATTTGTTCTTTCTTTTCCTTTCTTTATTCTGTATTAGTTTGGGGTAGTTTTCATGTTCTCTTTTAATAAAATGTATATAAAAATACCTCTTATGTAGGGAAAGTATCTGTTTTCTTGGTGAACAGCATTCAAGATCAGGAAATTTAAATTATTTAAATTAATCTAAATTAATTTATTCAAGACTTTGGGTATAATTTGAACCTCAAGAGACTTTTATTTAATTAAGGTAGATGGATGTTTTCAAGCCATTTACTTCTGTGCCTTGAGCTTCAAGACCACGTTTGTTGTGTGTATGTGTGCGTGTCTATTCTATTAATTATTTTAAGTAATCCCACTGTTTTTCGTTTTCTTTTCCCAAGTAGCATACCTATTCTCTCCTTGATCATCTTCTTGCTCCAAGCATGATCAAAGAAAGCCATTTTTAGCATTCGTAAACAAGTCTCAGCTAAACTGGGCCTTACCTTTCCTACCATTATGTTTTGAATAATCCATTCTTCTTTGGTAATATTCCTACCTGTTTAAAAAGAGTCTTTTTTATTAATGAGTCCTTGGAGATACATCTGTTTTTCCCCTTTCCCCTTTACTAATTCTTGATATAACACAAGTATTTGAATCCTTAAAAGTGGGGGGGGGGTTTCCTATTTAATTTGGAACCATGGGTGCTTTTTAACTTTTTTTCCTGAACTTCTAAAAATCAGCTTTCGAACTACCCAATGAATTTATTCACCATTAATATTACAAATTCCCAAATGGCATGAACATTCCTCTCTCCCTACATATTGCTTATAGCTCCACTTTATCAATCACTGTATCCAAGTTGGTCAGGATTACGTTTTGGCAGACCTTGTTCTTTTCTCTAGCTGGGAGCTGAAGTTGTCAGCAAATTGACCCCAAAGCATATTGGATATTTTAATCCTAAAAGAGTTCCTTCCAGCAGTGTCAGTGTTGCACGAAAAATGCTATTACTATCATCTTGCTCATCACTGTCAAAGTTTAGAGGCTGCTGAGTTACGCATATACAGTACCAAGAGAAATATAATTAATGCAATTTCCCAATGACTTTTTCTTTAAGCAAATGCAGGAAGTTGCTAATTTAATAATTTGACTAGAGGCAAAGGAGTCAGTCCTGTGACAACAGCCAGTTCTATATTAATTCTTTTATCTGGCATTGTTATCACTCAGACCTGAAACATTATCATGATCAGCCTACGGCTCACTAGAGGTTCTTGTACTGTATTCTCACCTTTCTCTGATCTGATTGGTTGACAACTTCTGATTTTGACCTAAATTCAGTCGCTGTATCTGGTGGAACCTGGCCTATACTTTCTCCCTACAGTGCTTAGGCTTTAGTTTTGGACAATGGGAGCATAATTTTAAAATAGGGAAGAAGTAGGCAAAAGGTTTGATTTCACAGCACTGTGTTTGCAACTATTGTTCAGCCATTTTAGTGTCAAAACAGTGTTATCTGCAAGGATAGGATGGAAGGGGACAGAAATCTTTCCAGCATCTTTAAAGCCACAGAAAACTGGATTGCTTGACAAGTGATTCTCTTGTTCCTTTCTCCAGTTTACCTTCTGGAAGAACAGCAGGAAAAGAAGAGAAAGGAGACAGCAATCACAGCTCCAACATTTTTTAGCCTGTGCTGGCACGAAAAACAAAAATAGAGGAAGTATTTTCAGGCAAATAAGAGGAAAGGATCCAGAAAGGTGAATAGGTTTGTTTGTTCCTCTTGTCGGTAATTTTAGGGATGCCACAGCTTCATTAAGCCTGAGAAAATGTCGACTCTTGCCCTTGGACTGGGTGACATGTCTGAGGAAGTGTATTTCCCACACCTGTGAAAAAGGAATGCTGAAGCGATTCTAGAGAGCTTTGATACAGAACCATGTAATAATGGCAGGAATCTGAAGGGAGAAAATACCATATTATGGTTTAGACAGCCTTTTCCCAACTGGGAACTTGGAAATTGTCATTTGGAGACATCAGAAGATTTGATTTCTGAGGAAGGCCACTCTAGATTCTAGAATTAATTCTTTTAATGCCATCCTAACCTAGGGACTGCCTACCTGACAATATAGTATGGCTTTGCTTGAATTTCTCTGTCTTCCTTAGCCTAATACATCTTGCAGCATTGTATGTGTCTAGAAAGAAAGCGAAGATGGTAGCATGTAACATACACCAAAGACCTATTACACAGATGAGGGAAAAAACTTCATCTCTGTGGTGCCATAGCGTATGATTAGATTTCATATATTAAAGGAAGGTCATTAGGAAGAGGTAATGATAAGAGCATGTCTACTAACAGTTTAATTGTATTGTTTTTCTATACCTGCATATTACTGGAGAGTTTGGTCTATTGGTTAAAGGCACCAGGTTAGTAAGCAGGAGACCATGAGTTCAAATCCTGCCCCAGCCATGAAAGCCTGCTGGGTGACTTTGAGCCACACTCTGACCTTCTCTCAGCCAACCTCACAGAGTTGTTGCTGTGGGAAAAATAGGAGGAGGAAGGGGTATTAAGTATGTTTGCCACCCTGAGTTATTTATAAAAAATAAAAAAGTGGGATATAAATATATAGATATAAATAAAAATAAGGTGAATGATTTCTCTCCCTCACTAGAGATTTTCAAGCAGAGACCAGATATACCTACACCTATTGAAGTATACACTAATTCTACATTTTGGGGCACCAAGGAGCTATTTGCATAAGCTTACAAGTCTTTCTCCAAATTCTATGATTCTGTATTTTGTAACCATAACACATCTTAACACATATGTGTGTTCACTGTTTTCTTGGGAGCCAAAGAGAACAAGAACTGCATTTTTAAAAAATTAATCCTTCAACAAGAGGCAGGCACGAATTGGCTATTTAGGTAAACATGATTCAGAGGTTGTATTCAGGTCTTTCTTTTATGTAATGTCTTCATTTACTGTAAAACCTTTCCCAGCAAACAGAAAAGTGAAAGAAAATATTTCACTTGCTATGTGACTGTTTGAAGTAACAGAGTTGAGAAGGCAAGTTAAAAAATAGGGCAATTCTTGCACTTATAAATTAAAGGAAACCATGACAGCCTTTGTTGCGTTTTCAATAAAATTCCTCCTGTCTTTTTCAGAACAGCACACGAAGCTCCAAAAATCCAGGATTTGCTTATGTTTATGCAACCCAGGAGAGAAGTTTATTTTATCACTTTACACCCCAAGCCACTTTCTTTGGATTGTTTTTTTTCTTTAACAGTAACCATAATGTTTGCTAGTAGGAAGATTCAATAAAAGCAAATGGCTTGAAGAGATTGAAAAGAGCAAAATAATATATTTTAATTTTATTCTGTAGAGAGAAGATATACAGATAACTTCCTTACAGATAATGCTCACTGACCAGATTATTTCAAACCGATTCACATTCACATACCCCTAAGGACTGTTATCTACGGCTGTATACACATTCCTCAACTGGTATCACATCAAAAAATTTATTCTCTTTATTCACTGTATTCAGTTGCATAAGAGTGAGATAGGAGTCAAGGGGAAAAACCATTTCTTTGAACATATGTAAGTAGAAAACTGAAGAACCAGTTTGATGTAGTGGTTAAAGTGAGTTCTAGTCTTCCTTTAGGCATGAAAGCCATCTAGAAGACTTTGGGCCAGTCATTCTCTCTTAGTTCAACCCATCTCATAGAGTTGTTGTTGTGGAGAAAACAGGACGCAGGAAAATTAAGTATCTATGATGCAAATTGACAAAAAATAAAGGCAAAACATTAACAAAATTAATAAATACATAAAGTAGGGTTTTTGTAGGGAGAGAACTCCAAAACTTAAGATATGCTTGCTCCCATAGAAGCTTATCCATTTATTATTTACAAGTAATCTTCAATTACTGACTGCTCATTCAGGGACCATTCAAAGTTAAAACAACTCTGAAAAAGGTTTATGACCAGTCCTCAAACTTGTAGCTGTTATAGGGTCCCTGACATCACAATTCAGATGTTTGGCAACATCATGCAGTCACATGATCACTATTTATTACCATCACAGCCAGCTTCTGAGAAGTCAATAGGAAAGCTGGCAGGAAGTTGCAAGTCATAGTCATGTGATGTTGCGCTTAATGACTCACAGTGATTCTCTTAATGACTGTACTGGAACTGATGTCAAAAATTTGGCACGGTCATGTGATGTTGCATTTTATGACTGCATTGCTCAGTGGTAGAATTCTTAGAACCAATTGCAGTCAGTAAGACTACTACTGCAGTCAGACTACTTATAATTTTTCCATCTTGTCTTCACTGTTGCCATATACCTTATGTGCGGAATGGGAAGGGCAATGTGAACTGGAGCTATTGACTCCATACTTCTGCAGCAGTACATACAGAAGTCAAGGGAAAAAGCATTACTCATTTTGCTTAGACACTAATTATCTGCACTTTAAGTGCAAGCAAGTAAGAAATATTTGTCAAGTGCCACATTAACTGTTCCATCATGTGTACACAGTTCTATAAGTTTGCATTTTAATTTGGTTTTCTGTGATCCTTAAGCATTCCCTAGGGTGTGCTTTAGTTTTTGTAAGAAAGAAATACAGGTGCTTGCCCAAACCATCAACAATGTTGTTGAATGCTTATCACCGGTCAAGGTTCTAGCTTCCATCTGCTGTGATGCAAACTTTGTTGTGCATGGAAGTTACCTCCTTCTACAAAACCTTGTCATCACGGCTGGTGGAATATGAGACCACATGCAATCAAAAGGACCCAGCAAACTTTCTCCTGTGATCAGAATCCATGCCTGTAATGCTCTTAATCCACATAGGGTAATTTCTGAATTGAGGCCCTATATTCTTTTTCTCCGTATTTATTTATTTTTTCTCTCTCCAATTTTGAAATAGACTTCTGCAAATCTGGAAGTCACCCTAAACTTACTGATATCTTTTTTATGTACCAGAAGGGAGGGGGCAGAGGCAAGAGAGGAAGATTTGACTTCATTAAAATGTGCGTGCAATGTTTGACCACCAAAAATAGAAGGAGAGATGAAAGGAAAAATTGTAGGCATATGCTGAAAACTGTCTATTTTAAAGGCACTAAATATCTGGAATCAAGAGTCCACTTGCTAAAAGAGGTTAGAATAGTTAAAAATTAAAGAAGCTGAAGTATAATATATCTGGACAGCATCTGTGGAGAGAAGGCTGATTTAGAATTTGCAATGGTAACAGCAATAATTTTTTCTCTTAAAGGGTTTCCTAAGCAGTAGTCGAAAACATCATTAAAAACACTAAACTTTTTAAAAGACAACTTTAAAAACTATTTAATCAACTGAATAACAAAGCTTTAAGACATAACACACGACTGTCTTTGCTTAAATTCTGTATTATTCTTCCTTACTACTTTGGATTCTATAGTAGGTTTGAGTGTTCAAAGTACTGTACCTGCATTTCTTTTTGGACAATCACTTCAAGGATACAAGGATTCATTACCTATTTGGGATTGGGAAAGCTGAGACCTCCTCTATGTAGCCCCCCGTTTGGTGTTGTGTGCACCCCCACCTTCCACAACTGAAAACACTGGGTAAAACTGGTTGTGTAGCACTCAGCAACTCTTCTGAGTCTCTTCTTGAATTGGGAAATGATTCTTCCCACTGGCCAATGAAGGAATGCTAAAAGCAACAGTTAGCAAGCACCTTGCATTTCCCCTATTATAGTCTATTTTTACAGTGCAGAAAAGTAGTTTAAAAAACCTGACCAGCTATTTGGGGAATGGTGGGGGGAATTAAATTGTCCTTTGCCACAATGTAAAAAAATAAAATCTCTTCCTAATAAAGTCCCAGTCTGTGGCCAAGGAAAAAGTCCTGCTAACCCCACCTGATAGTCTTTGGGCTACCCAGCTCCCTGGGACTGCAAAGTGGGATAAGAGATTATTTCTTCTCAAATTCCACAGAAAGTTTATGTCCAGGTGAAAATGATTTGCCAGATAGTTTCCCTGAGAGCAGTCAGGAAACTTATGGATTGAACAACAGACATCTCAATAGGTAATTTCCAGATTATATAACTTTCCTTCCTCAGCCACTATATGGGTACAAGAATAAAGGGGAAAAATGGGGAATTTATGAATGAAACAATGTTAAAAATGTCAGGACTCAGAATTGTCTGAAAGTCTTTTCTTCCTGATAAACTGGATTCTGCTTACACTGTACTTCAATAGTGGCAGCACTTAGCTGATTTTGACTGATTTCAAAAAGCTAAACAAGATTGGACATAGTAAGCATTGGATGGGAGACCACCAGGAAATCAGGAACGCATGGTTAGCCCTTAGATGGGAGACTATTAGGAAAATGGGCTTTACATTTGAGTGGAAAATCAAAACAATGTTCTGGTAGAAAGCAAAGCAAACAGGTTTCATGTTCCCAAGAAAACTATACAACTATGAAGTCACCAGGACTTGATTAGACAGACGTTATATTTTTACATTGTGACAAAGGACATATTTGAGACATGCCCCATTCCTCATCACATTTCAAAGTTGAGGTTTGTACTGAAAACAGAATTTAAGGATCAAGCCACAAGACATCTTGCAAATCTTGCTTGTAAAAATTCACATCTGTGTAGATACAACTATCAGTATTATAATCCTCATTCTTTTCCCCTATCCACCCACAAAGAAAGTATGTGCAATACAAAATAGCATCTTGAAGGTTGGCTGCATATGTGTTACACTTTGGCATATAAAGAGAATGCAATTCTTCCTCATGCAGTCTCAGTTTATTCATCCAGAGGTTGCTCAATTTTTAAAACTAGCCTGATTGCTCAGGGTTTTTGCTGAAAAAAAAATACTCTTAAATTGCTTGGAGATGGTTATCATTTGATTCAATTATTTACTGTTACTCTGTTCAGGAAGGTGCTACCCATAAAAGCACGAAAAGATGGGAAAGAAAAAGAAAAACTAACTTGGAGAGAATTTGAGGTCAACTGCCATGTTTGATGCTGTCCACCTTAGCCTATTTAATTTGAAAAACACAGATGTGTGAGAAATGAAGAATTTTATACGTAGCTCTCCACCTGCAATGTCCAAACAATTGTCTTTCTCAGACCATCCTTGGCAATGTTGTAATGGTTGAAAGTGAAATTTAAAATGATAGCTTAAAGTTTTGCTGTTTAGGAATTATTTCATATATAATTTTCAGTCTTAAATTTACACACTAGTTTTAACAAGAAAGATGCAAAGCTTTGCATACCCTTCAAAATGTCAGAATCTGCTTTTGAAAGAAGAAAAACAACTTCCTAACCCATTCTGGACAAACTTAAGAGGGAAATAAAGCAGCATTTCAACTGGAATGCAAAACAGAACTGAAATAAACAAACCAAACACCTCACATTTTTTTCCCTTTGCAATGACTTTAAAAGACCCCAGTCCTCTCAAAGGTACCTGCTAATAAAAATGATAATGCAAATTACATTTTTCCCACATTAAGACTGCACTTTTTTGCTTGTTAATAAAGCTTCCCTCCAAGAAAAAAAACATAAATACTGTAGCAAGCATTTAGGTTCATGAACGAAAAATCACTACTGATGTTTTCACAGCTCTCGGGCTGCATATATTTCTTTATCCCTTTGGGATCATCCTCAGTGCATCACTAAGTCTTGCTTTTCCAGTTTCGGATTGGTTAAATTTCCCTAAACACACACCAATATAAAACATGCCTTTTGAAAGCAGCTGCTTCAGGGCAACGCTCACAATTAACTAGATCAGGGACAAAGAAATGGGGGGAAGAATTAAAAGGAAGGAAAACATCCCATTCTAAAGACAGCAGCAGCAGAAGACTTCACTTACCTTTTCTCATATATACATACATATAAAGCCTGCAAAAATATTGCCTTCCTCCCAGCACAGCAGCAGCCACATGCCGAGTTCCAACTAGAACACCGAGCGGCCAATCAGAAGAAGCTGTCATGGAGGACGGCATGCTGGGAATCGTAGTCCAAAACTCCAGAATAGACCGTTTGGGAATAAATCGTATTTATAGACCCACCATTTTTGTGTTTGAGGACAGCGAGTGCCTCGGGCTGGATTAGGAGGTCGGAGTTACAATTCCGAAATATACCTCCTCGGGTGTAAACTCCACTGAAATCACAGCAGCATCTTTCCAATAAACGTGCGGAAGGACGGGATGTTAAAAAAATCAACAAATCCGTCCATCCTTCACTTACGATGCAGTCATATTTTAGAAGCACACATTTATAGAAGCCACGAAGTAAAACCCTTGCACAAGAAAGGAGAAAAAAAAAAATTAAGGCAAAGGATGGCGTGGGCGC